GGGCGTATTCGTGTTGACCCGAGCAGATTAATTGGTGACTTTATGCTTTCACTGACGCGGGGACAAGATGTCCATGCATGCTTTTATTGTGGAAATGGAAGCTTTGGTTGTGCAGGGATGGTTTTACAACAGAGGACGGCTAAAGCCGTGGCTAATGCAGTGGTGAAAGTGATATGTTTGAAGCTACGGATCAATGTGAAACTGGAGCAGTCTGTGTCATAACCCACACAAGCGCACGTACAAGTGACTGAACTTCAAGATTGAAGCTGGCCGTAGTCAAACCTGAGACCCACATTTTGTATTACTGCGCATACGTTTTGCAAATACGTTTGCAAAGGTGTTTGAGATTTCTGGCTATCGTCTGGCATTTACCTGAATATAGAGTTGTAAGAAGAACAACGATCTGTTCGTTTTCACACATTTCTTCAAATCACTGCAGTCACGACCGTTTCTCTCGCTCTCCATGTCTCCATTTTCGGTCCTTCCATCTCAGTCCCTTCTCTCATTCCCTCTCTTTCAAGTCACGTCCATTTTTTCCCTCCCTACCTTCCTTTCATTAATCAAAGGAATAACAATCTAAACCCGTGAGAGTGGTCGGACAGATGGCAGAATGATGATGGTGGCTGACAGCGCGGCGGATTGGCCTCTCAGATAACTGTCCCATAAATGTGTCTTTGAAAGGTAAGAAGGAGGAAGGAGTGCTTTTGATTTTCAGTTCCAGAAAAGCTTCAAAAGCCAGAGCATCGCTTCCTGTCATTTCACAGCTGTGAGAGGGAAACACTGATGAATCAAACTATATTTAGAGAAGTCATGCTTTCTTGTAAGCACTGAAAGGAGTCTTGACAACCACAGTATGCAGCTCGAATCTGTGACATATCTCCAATGATGAACATTTAACCGCCCAACACAACGCAACGAGACGATCCTATCGATCTGAGTTTCAGAAAACGTCCCGGATACGGAAAAGAGCAGTTCAATGAAGACTAAAACCAAGAACGTGTTGTGTCTTTCTAATAAAAACTCATAAAAGCAACAAACTATTGCTGTCTCAAAATAAAAGATGATGTAACAAAAATGGTGCAAGCGATGCACAGTTACTTGGAAGCCTCTGGGGCAGCCATTTTGTTTCTGTGTTTTTGTTGGCATGCAGTGCAGAGCGTCTCTGAGAAAGCGAGAGGCCGTCCCGCGAGGGCTGACTGGACAGTTCAAAAAAAAAAGCTCAGCCCTGCCTTTCACCCGGACTTGCCATTTTTAGCTTCCACTTAGCTTTTGCACTCACACTCACTTGGAAGTAAACAAACACTCTTTGCCTTTTGATTTAAATAACCTCAGACTGGATACTGTGTTTCTCCTAAATCAAGGCTCTTCTCTCCCGTTTCATTCACGGGAACAGTTTGACTTACTTTATCTTTTTCTTGCAAAGAGTTTGTACTGCATGTTGTTGTCTCAGCACCTGTACTCTGTGCAATGACAATACAATTGAATCTAATCTAATTTACAAATCTAGGGAGATGAGAAGATTGATAAGGACTCTCTCATGTCTGCATGTTAAACATGAAGCTACCAGCATTAGCCCCTTAGCTTAGCTTACAGACGGGAAACAGTTATTAGAAAACAACTGCCTTGTTTGTTTCATCTGCTGTTGTTTGGATTCTGTTACCTTTGGATGGAGCATGGCTTGCTATTCTCCACTGTTTCCGGTCTTTATGCTAAGCTAAGCTAACCAGCTGCCGGTTGGAGCTTCACATTTAACAAACAGATGTAAAAGTGGAATCTATCTTCTCATCTAACTCTCGGCAAAAAGTCAATCAGCTTATTTCCCAAAACGTCAAACGTTTCCTTTTAGAAATGCAGTGTTGCGTTAACTTGATTAGTCCTTTGTCAGAAGATGTTTATCACCTCTATGTGTTTCTGTCTCCTCTGTTTGAACTTTACACTATTTCAAATGTCCTTTCAAAGATTTGACGTTTGTAAAATATCATATTACGTAGCTGAAGTTTATATACAGTATATACTTCTTATTGTGATGAAAAGCTGACCACCTGGTTAAGTCAAAAACAAAGGTAAATACTACTATCGTCATGATGATAGAATGATCTTTTCTAGGGTATGGTGACAATACAATATCCTGAAAATAAATAGAGGGCCCGATGTGATGTCTCCAAGAAGCACACACAATCCCTGCTCAGACAGAGCAGCCATGTCTCCTCTGGCTCTGAACTATGAACCGAGAACGGGCGCCGCGGTTCAGGAAAAGGGAGAAAGAAACAGCGTACTTGACCACCACAGGGTAGTAACTCACAGTCACTAATGCGACAGCAGCAGAACGAGCTCTGCTGAATCCACCGGGATGACTTTGTTTCATCATACAGATAAAAGCTGAACTGCACTGTGACAACTGCTGTGGGGCTTTTAGTTCACAAAAAAAGAGTACTCTACAAGAGCGGGAGCGAGGCAGTGGTCTAGTTCTTTGCTCATGGGCACTTTAAAAATGCCTTCCAGCAAAGAATCATAGATGCTTCTCTTTGAGCAGGTCCAGCTGGTTTCTATCTCCAGCTCTAGAATGTAAACAGCTTGTTGTGAAGCATGACGTGTGCTCCCAAGATTAGTTATGTATAAAAATAAAAGACTTCTAGTGGGAAACATGAAACGATGCTGAGGTTGTTTGATATGTGAACGACAAATACCAAGACTTCACAAGATCAGTAGAAATCCCTCCGACTGTTTGTAGACGTCTGTCTCAGAGGGTTAATGTGGCTGTAGTATGAGGTCAATGTGTGGAGTTGCTTATGCATATGTTAACTTGAGGTGAGTGGTTGGGTGTGGTTAAGGACCTTTCAAACCATAAAAACTCCAGAAAGACTCATGCTGCTCTGCATTTCTTTGGCTTTTTGCACACCTGATTATCCCTTGAAGTTTAAAGAGCCTGAATCAGAAAACAATGAAAAAAAGGAGCTGCTAGATATAGGAAACAAATGAGACCCGCACCTGCACCAAAACAAGCACTGCGCAGCCAGCCGGCCTGGCTCGGTGTTCGCCGGCATCGATCACACTCGAGACTTTGGCTCCATTTCAGAGCGGCACAATACAGGCAGCCGTGGAATGAACAATGGCCGGCTTGTTTCTAAGAAACAATCAGCGCATGGCGATGGTGTCGTGAGTCACCATTTATCCGGAGAGCGCGGCCCATTCACTGTGTAGTGCAGTATAGGCCT